GAGGAAAAAGGAAACAAAAAAAGGTAGAATTTAACTGAGGTGGATACATGCCTTTAAAAAATACCAAGTTCTCATTCACATACTTGAAAATATTTGTCCACAAAACTCTACACCAAATGAACACTTTCAAACTTTTCTGCTGTTTTAAAATACAAATGGATAACATATTATACATTTTGTTATATTGGTGGAAATTGTCATCTAATGACAATTAAAGGCACTGTCAGACATTAAATTGAACTCAGAATAATATCAATCTCAAACTGCTTGATAATTCTAACAAGGAAATATCTGGAATCCCATTTTTAATATAGAGACTAGAGCAGTAATTGTGGATTTCTTTTTGGTTCTGAAAATTGACCAAGAAGCATCAACCAACATAATCTACTTGGCTTTGATCACAAGAAAACATTCCAGACAACTTATGCAGACAAGGGATAAAAAGGTCTAAAGTTTAGTTCCTCCTACATTCTTTGAATAATTTTAAAAGGATGAATAAACAGTGGCCCTGTTGTTCTAGTAAGCCATGACAGTGATAATCAGGTAGATGAATGCTCTCTCCAAAATTTAGCAGTCTCTCATACCTTCAGATCATGCATTATATTTTCTCCTATTCACAATGCTTCTAATTCCACTTCTTTTACTTACAAATTAATAATGAACCAAATATTCTCAAGCATTAACAACATCATGGCTGGCTGCTTCTGTTAAGATTTGCAGCCTCATGAACTTAATAGAGGGTTTCCATATATAAGAACTAACTCATTTGGTTTGTTTTTTTGATTTGGAGTCAGAAACCGGAAATTGGTGGAATAATGTATGCAACATAGAACTTTTAAAAAAAGTATTTCTTTTCATAAAACTTGAACGAAAAAGTTTAGAAAACAGTGGTTTTTCATTCAATCATTCATGCAAATTTTTATTTATAATATTGCTGTTGTTATATACCATCATGTCAGAATCACCTCAGCTGATCCACCACTAGGTTTCAGAGCAATTAAATGCAGAGGAGAAGGTAGCCATGTTTCTCCCATGGAGCCGCAGGTGGATTTGAATCATGTGCCTTTGAGTGGGGAGCACTTGGCCATCAGAGTGCCTGAGTTTATAATATTTCTAGTATTATTACTATTTATATAATTGAGTTCCTAGTGGCAAGAAGCTGCTCTGCAATCCCAAAGGCACGTAGTTTGGAGCCACTAGCTGCTCTGTGGGAGAAGAATGGGCAGTCTTCTCCATGCAATTAACTGTCTCTGAGAACCTGCCAGAGGATCAGCTATGAGTCGGTTCTAGTCAACAATACACCACAACAACAACATATAACTAAGTAGGGTAATCAATTAATTATAATGACTGATCAACCCTTTATTGTATATTGCCTTTCTTTTCATTCAACTTACTTGTTAGTGTTATGTGCTGCCAAGTTGGAAGTGACTCATAGCTGACCCTCCAGCAGATTTTCAGAGGCTGTACATCACATGGGAGGAGATTGTTTATCTTTTCCCCTTGGAGAAGCTAGTGGATTTGAACTATCGACCTTTGGGTTACGAACACCACTTCTTATTCACTAGGCCGCCAGCGCTTCTTAACTCAACTCACTGTCTACGTATTCATTTACACTATTCATTATTTGGCTTCTTTTTTTCTTAGTAACCATTCAAAAATGTGGGCAAACCTTTCTTAGCTATTTATAATAATGTTCCTTTCTTTCCCCTTACTTTTTTTACTTGTCAGCATAATTTCCTCTATTCATCTATACTATGCATTATTTCTTAGACTCTACAGTTCTTCAGTGTTGCACAATATTTCAATCTGTGAATGTAGTATATGCTAAATATTTGTCTGTTGATGAACATTTGTGTTTGTTTAAATTTTTTTTGGCAAGCGTATGAGTGACTATACTGGCTTGTGACATAAATTTTACTTCCTTAGTATATACACATAGTGGGCTTGTTTGATCAAATAATATTCTTATTTTTAACCTTTTAAGGAAGCACTAGACTGTTTTTCATAGTGACTGCATCATTTTATCTTTCTATCAGCAGAAGATATTTCCAAATTCTCCATGTCATTATTAGTATTTGTTGTTTAGTATTGTTTTAAGTTTTGCTTCACAATTACTTGCTATGCATCAGAGAGCTGGATAGTGACTAATGATGACAGAAGAATCAACGCCTTCAAGTTGTGGTGCTGGAGAAGAGTCATGAACACACCATGAACCACCAAGAAAACAAATAGGTCTGTCTTGGAGAGGGTAAAACCAAGTTTCTCCTTGAAGGCTAGGATTTTGAAGCTCTGTCTCACATTCTTGGGACATGTGGCCAGAAGGGACTGACATCATACTCAGGAGGATGGAAGGACAGCGCCAGAGAGTACTGGGGCCATGGGGGTAGGGGCTTTGGAGTTAGTGAGACTGGCTCAGGACAAGGCAGGCTTCAGAGCTGTTGTGCATAAATTTGCTATGAGTTTCAGGTGACTCGACGGCACATAACTACAACATGTAAAATATATAGAATGGCACCTGGTACACTGAATGTACTTAACAAATTCTTAGTTTTAAATATAATTTGTAACCCTTATGTATCAAAAAGTCATGCTGTGGGAAATTCTTTGAAGAAGATTTTATTCATTCTTCCAGATAATATGGTAGGACTGATAGTTAATCCCCTTACTTCATGTAAGTGAACATCTGGTCAAGTTTTCATTCCAAACAATATCAGTCAGAAAAACTTGGCCAGACCATGACTAAATAAGGCAAACATTTTCCAATTCTACTGTATTGCTAACCCAAAATATTTTTCCTCCCTCAGTTTAGAGCCAGAGACAATGTTAAGATAGGGTAGTTATTAATTTCATTTTACAGTCAAGGAGTGTTTACGCAAAATTACATGGGCTCCAACTACAAATACCTACCAAAAAAAAAAAAGGACAGAAATTCGCAACACTAATCATGCACAATAGACATTTACCCACCAAATCTTGGCTATTGTGGGTCATAATTTCTCTTCGATTGAGTGAGACAAGCCAAGATATTCAAGAATAAAAGAGATAAAACAATCTTAGAGATTATGTTTGACTACACAATTTTAAAGAGGAGATAATGTAAAAGTGGTGAGAAAAATTTACTTATTTAAGGTCAGATGTCATGATCAAGACAAAACAGGAGAACAAACTGTGGCTGACTCTGAGAAGAATGGGAATCCCAGAACATTTAATTGTGCTAATGCGAAACCTGTACTTGGATCAAGAGGCAGTAGTCAGAACAGAGCAGAGTAACACTGCATGGTTCAAAATTGGGAAGGGTGTAACCAGGGATGCATCCTGTCTCCATACCTTTTCAACATGTATGCAGAGCAGATTATCCGAGAAGCTGGGCTCTATGAGGAGAATTGTGGCATCAGGATTGGTGGAAGATCTATTAACAATCTGCGTTATGCAGATGACACAACCCTGCTTGCTGAAACTGAGGAGGACCTCATGCACTTGCTGCGAAGGGTCAAGGACTGCAGCCTTCAGTATGGACTGAGGCTCAATGTCAAGAAGACAAAGATTCTCGCCACTGGACCAATTGGCAGCATCAGGATGGATGACGAAGAGATTGAGATTGTTCACAGCTTCAGTTTGCTCGGCTCCACAGTCAACACTCTTGGCACCAGCAGTCAGGAAATCAAAAAGCATATCGCGATGGGAAAGTCTGCTGTTAGGGACCTCTCAAAGGTACTCAGGAGCAACAGTGTTTCTCTGGAGACTAAGGTGCGCCTGATACAGGCTATGGTCTTTGCAATCGCTTGTTATGCATCAGAGAGTTGGACAATGACTAGGGAGGACAGAAGGAGAGTGGATGCTTTTGAGCTGTGGTGCTGGAGAAGGGTACTGAATGTACCATGGACTGCCAGGAAAACAAACAGATTCATTTTAGGATTAAACCAAGCTACTCCTTGGAGACAAGGATTCTGGGGCTTCGTCTGACATACTTTGGACATGTTGCCAGGAGGGACGGGTCCTTGGAGAGGGACATCATGCTTGGGAGGGTGGAGGGACAACGCAGGAGGGGAAGACCCTCTATGAGATGGATTGATTCAGTGACTGGGGTAATCGGGATGGGTGTGTCAGAGGCGGTGCGGTTGGCGCAGGATAGAGCAGGGTTTAGGGCTGTTGTGCGTAGGGTCGCTATGAGTTGGAAACGACTCGACGGCACATAACAACAACAACAACAACTGAATCTAACTTCTCAAACAGATCTTTTCCCAACCGTGTTTGTGCTTCCTCAAACTCCACTGACTGCGGTGACTAAGAAGATCTTGGAACCTTGATTCTAAGGGTATATGATACAGTGCATGTTTCCTTTTGCTACTATCCCTTTGTGGAAAAGAAACGTGAAGGTAGGATTGAGTTTTCATCCTGGCCATTTGGACACCATATGTGACACATCTGGCACTATAAAAATTAAACAAGTTGTAGGTGTGGTTAAAAAGGGGTGGGAGGCAGAACTCACTAGGTAATCAACAGTGCTTGGTACCTGGTGTGATCACAACTATCAATTATCAAAGATTTAAGATGAGTCAGGGTCAGAGTTAAATGCTGTAGAGATTTTTTTTTCCCCTTTGGTGTGCTCAAGAAATTGATGATGTAGTTAATATTATTACCTTTCTCTAATGAATGATGAAAATGGAAATTTAGAAAAGGTAAGTAAGTTTCCTGAAGCCAGTCAAGCATAAAATATTGAGACATTACTTTTGACATCTTTAGTCAAAATCGTTCTCATATCTGTCAAGCTAAACCTACTCCTTGTTGACCCTTGACGGGATTTCCAAAGCTGTTAATGACACAGCTCTTATTGCAAGCTTGGCGCCACTGGTGGATTCAACCCAGCAGAGAGGTGTGGCCTTTCGCTTAGTAATACAGTTCCCTATGTACTATGCAGTCAAAGAGCCCTTCAGTCCAAGTAAAAGCCCTTTTTTGAGATGTAGCTATCACCACCATTTGAAGCTCTATATTGTCTTTTAATCTACTTCTTGCTCTAGAATTCATAAGAAAGGACTGGGGCTTATTAGTCTAATGCTATTATTTTCCAGTATTCTGTGAGATTTATTCAGCAAACACTTATGCAATATTTGTATGGCAGACATTATTCTAAGTGACTGACTGACATATCTTCATTATAACCCTATGACACCACCCCATTAAGGAGGTTCTCACTCATTGCTGTTGATGTTGTGTACCGTAGAGTTAGGACTGACCCAGAGCTGACCTTCCTCTGGTAGGTTGTCAGAGGTAGTTGATCTAGGGATATTGCCCATTCTTTTCCCTTGGAGGAGCTGGTGACCTCAAATCGTGTGCCTTCAGTATTACAGCACAACTTCTTGCCACTAGGCCACTAGAGCTTGTGGAGACCCTCTCTCAGGTTTTCAGGACCGTAAATTATAAAAGGAGGAGACTGCTTTTCTCCTTAAGATCTGCTGGTTGACTTGAACTGCTATGAACTACAAAAGCTCCCCAATAACCCTATGACTTAAAAAAAAATAATATCCCATTTTTTAAAAAAAGAAACTGAAATATTTATCTAACTTGCTCAATGTTGTACAAGTAATAAATAAGCATTATATGGACTGCCAAAAGAACAAATCAATCTGCCAGGGTGATTCTTAGAGTCAAGGATGATGAGTCTGTCTCACATAGATTGGGTATATAATCAAAAGAGTCTAATCCTTGGAAAGAATGCCATGTTGGAAAAGTAGATGGCAGAAAGAGAAAGAGAAGAAGACCCTCAACGAGATGGATTGGCACAGTAGTCACTGGAACTTAAACACAGTGGAGATCTTGAGAATGATGCAGGATGGGCCAAGGTTTCTGTCTGCTGTATATAGGGCTATTGTGAGTTGGAGTAGACTTGACAGAACCGAATAACACAATAACAAAATCACATCATTTAATCTTGAACTTTTTTTTAAAAAAGCAAGGGAGCCTTGTTTTCCAAAACTAGAAATTAAAGAGGAAGTGTTTTGACTGAAGAGCTTGGGAAGTCCCAGATTCCTCCTATCTTCTTCCTCTTCCTTAACTCAGTAACTTTTAAGATATGCTAAGGACTAATTTGACAACCAGTGCTTTAGAATGGGCTTACAGAATATTTTCTGTTTTAATTCTTTAATATAATTATTATCTGTTCTCAACCCAAAGGAATTCTGTTAGCATATAAAGAACTTGTAAATTATTATACAGCCATTAAATGTAGCAATTATAAGAACTATGTAATAATAAGAGAAAATGGCTATAATATTATGAGAGGAGGAAACCAAATTGCACAAATTTCAGGATTATTAATGTTTAAAATTCCATATACATCATAGAGTCACTATGTTCATGCAAAGGAATTATAGGTTTGGCTTTTTAAAGTATATAATGAGTCACTTCTATTATTTATCTTAAAAATAATCATAATAAAATGTTAAAATAGGGAAATACTGTTGTGTCCTCAACTCAACAGCAACTAACAACATCACCAACTTGGATTCACCAGGAGCCCTGGTTGTATACAGGATCACTATGAGCTGGAACTGAGTCAATGGCACATAACAACAACAAGCAGTGACTCAGTTATTAAACACTCAGTTGCTAATTGAAACTATGGGAATTTGAAACTATCAGTCATTCTATCCTGGGAAGATATAGCAGTCTGTTCCTGTAAAGATTTATTACTATGATTAGGTATGGTCCAGTTTAGTATGACTCATAGCAACCCTGTAAACAATAGATGTGAACCCTAGCCTATCCTGTGCCTACCTCACAGTCTCTGACACACTCAAACCCATTGCTGCAGTAACTGTGTCAGTCCACCTGGTTGCGGGTCTGCCTCTTCTTTGCCATCCCTCCACCTTTCCAAGCATGATGTCCTTCTCCAAGGAATAGCCTCTTCTAGCAACACACCCAAAGTATGTGAGCCGAAGCTTCACCATGCTTGCTTTCAAGGAGCAATCTAGTTTTATTCCTCTCCAAGATGTATCTGTTTATATTCTTGGCAGTCCATGAGATATTCAGTACTTTTCTCCAACACCACAATTTAAAGGCAGAATTTTTTCTTCTGTCATCCTTATTCATTGCCCAGCTCTCAGACATATAGTAGATGATAAAAAAGACCATTATCAGAGTCAGACACAATATAGTCTTCAAATTAACATCATTGCTCCTCAATAATTTAGAGACTATAGACTTTCTCTGTACAGTCTGTCCCCTGCTCTCCTGACTGCTGATGCCAAGTGTCTTTATTACACAACCAAGTAAGATTAAGTCACTGACAGTTTCAGTATGCTTTCCATCTATCAGGTGTGTCAGAGACAATGAGGTTGACTCAAGATAGAGCAGTG